AGACAGCCGCGCGCCCTGTTCGTTCCATTCTAATCTACGGCTTCCAATGTGAGGTTCTTCCTACATTCTTCTCGGTCCAACCTTGGCGTTGAAATCTCCAATGATGACTTGAAGAATGTGTGTTCTTTTCTGTAGAACTTCTCCAAGTCCATATAGAACGCTTCGACTTCTTCTTCGTCATAGTTTGATGTTGGCGCGTAAACGACGAAAGTTCTCAAAGCCGGATTGGTCCACGTTTTTTTAATCGTAAACGTCCGATTCGGGATCGATGTTGCTCTAATGAATCTATGTTCATGGACAAACCCGTGTTGACGAGAACGCCGACGTCGCCGGCTCCTCTACTGTCCCATGTTCCGAGGAACAGTTCTTCTCCGGTGTCATAGACGGAGTTGAAAGGCTGGCATCTTCTCGTCTCGGGCAGACCGATGACGTCGTACTTTATCCTTCCTGCTTGCATGAGCAAGTCTTCCATCGAGGACTCGGATGCAGGTGTACGTGCATTGTAGGTAGAGATCGTCACCATAGTTCTTTCAAATCCAGGCAGCTTCAATTGGCCCTGAGATTTTGGCAGCCTCTCCGTACTTGTCCTGTCCAACGCTGCGAAATTGGTGCTCGCTCGGGGTCAGAGGAATGAGGTCCGCTTTTTTTTTAAACTGTGTTTAGCATTTTTGTTACCCACGTATAGCTTGCTAGCCTCTGAACATGGAGGCTGGATATGCTCACGGGTAGCTTGCCAGGCTCTCCCAGAGTGAACATTGAGCTTATTTGTTGGAGGCGACTCCTAACCGCCTCCCATATACTTCCCAGTCACTTGATTGCAGGCTTTTGGCCGAATTGACTCGTAGAATACAATCTGCATAAGCAAAAATGCACCCACACATACACGCATGAATACGCCTAGCAAATACAGAAAGTATGTGCCAAATCAGCGCAGCAGAAACGGGGTGTTCATCCCCTGGATCCGCCTGCGTCTTAGCGAAATAAAGGTCGCTTTTCGTCCGCCATTAACCCCCTATCCGCCACCTGGAGACGTGCCACGTAGCCTCGCAACTAACCGGTTCGAGATCCCTCATGTGAGGGAGATCCGTGGCACGGCAGGGTATTAAGCGAAATACAGCCACAATGTTGCTGGGATATTTGCAAAACTCTGGACCACAGGTGTCTTAGGTGGGGAACGAACCCCCTATTGTCCTTTCCGAGGAGTAACGCGTTCACCACCACACCATACAGGTCCTTTGTTTCGCCTGTCTCTCAGCTAGTTTCATCTATCATAACAGTGGGCTCCCCAGATCAGCCCCGCTGACGGGTGATTGCTGCTGGCGCTGATAGAGAGAACTAGCTGAGAGACAGGCGAAACAAAGGACCCGCATGGTGTGGTGGTGAACGCGTTCCTCCCTGAAATGGATGGATAGTTGAGTTCTCTATGAGCTCAAATGTGTCTGTATCTGTGTCTAAAGTTGAGAAGTGCCTTAAGTTATGTATGCATTTAAATCACTTCCTATCGCCGCTAGTGCTTTAATGAACAGTGTTCTTAAAAAAAACAAGACTGTTTAAGCATTGTAGAAAAAGGAACTAGAAAGTAAACGACACTTTTCACATTTACGACATAATAGTCACATACGTTCCACCTATAAAGCGTATCGATTCTTTGAGGGCAGAGCAGAAGAGAAATCAGTTCACTGTCCTTTTATCTTACCTTAATCTGGCGTTGAAAGGCTGGCGTCTTCTCGTCTCGGTCAGGTCGATGACGTCCTACTTTGTCCTTCTTGCTTGCATGAGCAAGTCTTCTATCGAGTACTCGCATGCAAGTGTACGTGCATTGTAGGTACAGATCGTCACCATGGTTCTTTGAAATCCAGGCAGCTTCCATTGTTCCTAAGATTTTAGCAGCCTCTTCGTACTCGTCATACCCAGCGAAATTGGGGGCTCTTTCGGGGTCGGGGGAAATGTCACTATGGCGAATTAGCGAGTATCTCAATAATACTCGCTCATTTGAGACGTGAAGTGGACGATTGTACAACTGATTGCTAACATTAATGGAAGGGTAAACTGATTTTTGTGGAAAAGTTTGATATTTCTTCCTGTGCAAATCCTATGGCCCTTAATTCGATCTGGCTCGGTCCAATAAAGCCGCCCGACCTGAGTTTAGGAATAACTTGGTATATTGTCGAGGTTTCAAATGATTATATAAACGGTTTTGAGAACTATTTTCGAAGAGATAAGTATAACATGAAACATTGTGAGAGTAGCGGTTGAGAATTGTTTCCAAACGCGCAATATGATAGGTGACATCGGTGGCCTAGTACTTTGCTGATAACCAGCGCTTCCTAGACGCTACTCATTTTTCTCTCTTGATGGCTTATTTCCTTATAAAAATGATAAAGATCCCGACGTTGATCAATCCATGATGAATGCGCCATGTTTTCGATTGCATCGAGAATCGTTAAAGGTGACTTAGTGAATATCCGGCCTATACAATGACTCGTTATGACCTACTTATTAAATCAATGCTGCTACCTCCATACAGGTCTGCTACCAGTTTACCGACTCCTGACGGATAGAAAGTTTTATGAGTCTAGGGCATAGGATCGAACTCAAGTTCATATTCGTCAACATGGACGACGTTGAACTAACTCGAACTCACAGTTATACCAACGTCACTTGATTTCTAACGGATCATCCAGGTAGTTCTGTGATATTTTGAAGGCCACTGTAAGAAATCGTGGAAGCGATACGAAGCTTTGCTAAAGATGCTCTTTTATTTTGTTATATATTTGCGCTTATGTTTATATGCTGTTGGTTATGTTTGTGGCTATATGTCTGTTGTTATTGTTATTATATATATTTTATAGTTTCATCGCTTCTCAGATAGTAAGAAAGCCATCTTGTCATTGAGGCGAAGAAGGCATTCAAGTAGGTTTCAATAGTCTCCCATGCCGGAGTGGACCCTTTTTGAAGAATTTCAAGTTGATAAAAACAATAGCAGAGAGGCGTGAGGTTAGCGCCGCAGATCATTCGTAACATTTCATGTATAGTGGAAGTTCTGTGTGAAAATACGAACTGGCAAGTGAAACACAGTTCCACGACAATAGATCAGTTCTATTCGCTTCGCTTCAATGATGGGGTTCTAATCTACCATGTGAGAGTAGTGGTGTTCTGATCTACTTGTTTGGAGGTGACTTCTAATGGACATTACTTTGGCACCTTCTAGGATCCGTTGATTGATACCAAATCTGTCCAGGAGCAAAGTGGAAAATTAGGTAAGGATTTATAAAGAAGACTCCCTCCATGGACGATGACCGCCATAACATCTGTGTTAGATAGGCTATCGATTGATTATGAGGAGTTTAGGAAAATGGTTCTAATTGCTAAATTAAATCACCGGAAGGAAAACGAAACCTATAGGTGTCAAACCGGCCTCTCCTACACATTCACTATAACACCTAGAGAGCTACCTCGTCAAGAAAGTGTTAATAAGATAAATCAAAGTATTTTCTTCAACGCTATGAAATGGTCAACTTCGTAAGCACTACAATCGTCGAGAAATCAGCTTCGAACCTTTAATAGAGTTCAATGTATAGCGCACTCCTAAGGCACTAGAGGTTTTTGTCGAACCAGTGTCTGCATAGAATGGGATCAGAAGGAGCTATCTCTGAAAATTAGCCATTTCTAGCTACTAAGAAACGATGGCGGCCACTCGATATAGGTTAAACGAAGAACGACGCCCCGTAAACGATAAGTGTAGCGAAAATAAGGTGCCGTTCATCCTACCCTTCATTCCCAACAAAATAAGCACGTTCAGGAAGCGTTGCTTAAAAAGAGTCGGCTTAAAAAAATCGATACCAGTGAATGAAATACCACCGGGCACTCTAAAACATTAGTTAGTTCGTAACCGCCTATATCACCTTCTGTGTACAATGCTAAATTGCATAATTTGCGCTAACGGTAGAGAAGGTGATTTCAGGAGTTATACCTAATCTTACGCAAAGCATACAAAGAAGAATACATTGGCCAGCAGGGTAGATCACTCTGTGTCAACATAGAAAAGTATCAAGTCGGAAAACCTAAATGCAAACAAGACACTCCACTAGGCACGAGGAAGGCATAAAGCCATAACGTTAAGTCTAGAACGTTGGAGCTAAAAAACCTTCGAATAATTTTGTACCAACTGCAAAAATCTCAAAATGAATAGCAAGGAAACGTCTTTTGACCACGCGTGTTCTCACCCCATAGCTCAGGTTGATTCTGTGACTTGAGCCATGCACATTACTCGCCTATGTGGGTCTCTATGCTGCTAATCTCCAACAGTGACTGTTTGAGTTGAAAAGAACAAAACTGTGAGCGTTTAAGAGAACCTCTTCACTGTAGGAATAAAGACTTATGGATCATGTTTTTTTTCTACCCCGGTTACGAAAGTGTTTGAATGAGTAGGTTGCGGAACGATTTGACCTTTCCACGTTCGAAGAAGGCAAAACTGCCGATGTGTCAGTTATTAACTCAAAGGACGAACTTTCTGTAAACCTCGGCATAAATAATTGAGGTGTTATAAATGCGTCATTTTCTTGTTCGGCAATCGCGAGGCTGTTACACAGCATACATTTACATCGATACAAAACACACAATACGAAATAATCAGCTGTTCTAATCCTCCTCAGTGGAATTCACGTTAAAAGAGGCCGTGAAGACGGTGATATTTCTGCAACGTCAGCTACTGTTGTGTTGTATGTGTTTTTTGTATGGAAGCAAACGCATGCTCTAAAACAAGCTCGTGATTGCTGAGCAAGGAAACGATGCATTTATAATCCAATAGCGAGCCTAATAGAAAATCGTTCCTGGGAATCGACGTATTTATTCATATGCTCTCATGAACTGATCATGTTGAGGTGATGTGAGGTTGGTACAGTTGTCGTTGTTGTTGTTGGTCGAATCTCATCGTGGCTGGGAGGTCTTGGGTATTAGACTGAAATGTACAGCGGGGGATTCATTTCCCCGGCCAGGTTTCCCAAGTCGAGAAGGAGTCCGGCATTTCCATCCGGAAGTCCAGCTAAGAGTAAACCATTACCAGGATTCACATAGTCTCATGCTGGCAAATCTTCCTCTGATCGACAAGGGTCGCGACTGTGCCCGTGATGGTAACGAGCTGGGGCAGACTTTGGCCAGACTAACCTCGGGACTCCAGGAAAACAATGAGTAAATCAGCGAAACTCCGAAAAATGGAAATTTTATATGGAGCCGCAAAACCAGTGATGATTAGCCATCTAGGTAGGTATCCAAGTATGTATATATATATATATATATATATATATATATATATATATATAT